ATGCAGAACCTAAAAAGGCAAGCTTTCAAGAGGTGGAACAGGAGAGGAATCAATGCAAGAGGGAAGGGAAAAATTTGTAAACAAAAAATACGTAAACAATGAGAGACAATTGGTAGTACAAGAGAAATACAAAAAGAAGTAACTCTAAGATGGTTATATGATCATAGAAATATCTGCAAACAAAATAGTTATGCTATTATAAAAATGCAAAATGTCCTGGGAGCTCAGAAGAGAAAGGAGTAGGTAAGAATAGGTAAAAATGTTGGCAAGATTTCACAGGAGAATAGCTTTTGAATTGAACTTTGAAGAATATCTCACTGAGGTATTTGGTATCCCAAATCCATGTGTCCATGTTTATGGTCATTATTTTATTATCTATCCCAAACCTGCACATGTGAGTCTTGGACATGATTACTGATGTTACTGTTCACCCCTGTATCATTCATTTTAAGAGTAATTTAACTCCCTCTTGATCTTTGATCACTGTAATTACATGAAGTTTTGAATAGTTAGCTTTTTTTTGGTACTGGAGATTGAATTCAGGTATGTTCAACCACTGAGCCGCATCCCCAGCCCTATTTTGTATTTTATTTAGAGACAGGGTTGCACTAAGTTGCTTAGCTCCTTACTAAATCACTGAGGCTGGCTTTGAACGCACCATCCTCCTGCCTCAGTCTCCCCAGCCACTGGGATTACAGGTATGCGCCACCACACCCAGCTAGTTAGCATTTTTTATAACTGATATATTTTATGCATTTATTAGTCTACTAGTTAAAACACACATACTGGTGCTGGGAATCTAATTCAAGGCCTTGTGCATGCGTGCTAAGCATGCTCTCTATCACATTTTATTTATTTGTGTATCTATTTATTTAGAAGTGCTAGGGATTAAACTCAGGGATACTTTACCACTGAGCTATATCCCCAGCCCTTTTTAGTTTTTATTTTGAGAGAGGGTCTCACTATGTTGCTGAGGCTGGCCTCAAATTTGCAATCCTCAAGCCTTAGCCTCCTGAGTTGCTAGGATTACAGGTGTGTGCCACCATGCCTAGCCCTATCACCTATTTTAAATTTTGTTAAAATATATGCAAAAAATGTCATATTTTGAAGCAATTCATTTTTTTCTACATTGAAAAAATACAATTTTGGTTTTAAAAGACAGATCATTGAGAACTTATCATAGGGGAGCTGCCCTGTTCTACAATCATGACAGTATTTTTATTTTAAAATAATACTGTTCTAAAAATATATTTCTTTTGCTCTGTCCTTGTCTCTATGGAATGCAAAGTTTTTATTACTGTGGAATTTCCAAACAGTAATTTGTTGCTGCTGCCATTTGGAGGAGCTGGCATCCCAGGGTAATGAAGAGTTGATTCTGACTGGCAAAGATGTTTTCTTTGAAATTTAGTGCCCCCCCCCAGAAGAATTTGCCATCAAATTCTCACAATTAATGAATTGTGTCTTTGTTTAGCAGTAAATTAATGGAAGTTACAATTACAACCAATTATTCTGTAGAGATATTGAAGATGTTCTTACACCCCTGAAACAACAGATCTTCTGAAAACTGAAAGTGAAATTGCCAACCTTGGCGCCCATAGTTAATTGACTACTCGGTTTTGTTGATAGATAGTTCAGGTAATTCAGAGATTAAGCCAAGAGTGTGGGAGGCCTCAAGACTTTTTGAATGGAAACATTTAAATTTTGCTAAAATCCATGAAGCATAACCATAGTCTCTTTTAATCCAGATTTTTAAATTATATCTACAAATACTTGTTCTCTAGTGTGGTATTAGGAGTTAGGAAAAGCAGATGTGTATGAAAATGTATTTCACTTGTTCCCCAAGATTTACAACAGAGTTACTGAGAATTCATCAATGAAAGATTTGCCCTTCTGATATCTTATTCTGATGAAATAGTAGAAAGATGTTTTAAGAAGTAGAAGATTAAAGAGTTTAAGGAATTTTCAGTTAATTAGCAGAGTTGCATTAAATATCTTCTTACCATGATAGTGAGGTCCTGAATTCTCATTTTGCCTTTTCTCGCCTAATGCTAACCAAATATTTGGTTTAACTTTCAAATTTTCATAATAAACAAATAGCCCAGTTTCTATCAATAAGGTGGAAGGTTTGCATTTAGAATTGCCTTCAAAATGTAATTGGTTCCTATGCCATTATAAAATGTTACTGAACAGTCTCTAAAGGCCAACAGGAACAAATTATCTCTGGAATATTCTGTTGTGGCTATTTCCTGAAATAGATGAAGAAAGGAAGGTTCTTTCTAAATTCATTGTTCACCTGCACCTAACCTGATGTCATGAAATTCCACTGCTTCCTGCACAGTGCACATGCATCCTTTAAGTCTGAACTCGAAATCCATTCTTTGAAATCATGCTTATTCTCCCATCTGGATCCTGCAAAACTAGGCCTGAAGCTATTATATTTCCTACCAAGTAATATCTGTTATTCAGGTATATATATCAATGCAGAAATAACCTAGGTATACCCTCATAGTATATAGAGCTGGGTTTATCATACACTAATTACCAATAAGCAAATATAAGCACCATTTTCCATTAAATTATTTTTTTAAAATACATGTAACTCACTAAAATTGTTGGGAAATAAATATGAACAACTATTATTATACCATAAAAACAATATAAAGTAATACTTGCAAAATACAAACACACTGAGTTATTATTTTTCCTTACTACTCAATTAACTATCTTCCATCTCCGCCTAGACAAATCCTAGTTTTCTCCAGACTTGAATATATTTAAATGTTTTTCACTAACCTTTTTTTGTGGTTTCAAAAGTACCAGGCTCTGTGCCAGTTATTAATGGTGAAATTTTATTCTTTTTTAAAATTTTTTTAGTTGTAGTTGGTACAATATCTTTATTTCTTTATTTTTATGTGGTGCTGAGGATCAAACCCCGTACCTCACACATGCAAGGCAAGTGGTCTGCCACTGAGCTACAGTCCCAGCCCCTTTATTCTCATACTTCAGCTTAATTGCCTATAAAAGAACTTTGTCTTGTTTTTTGTTTTTGTTTTGTTTTGTTTTTTGCTGATTCTAGAACAGTGATTTCCAACACTTCTGTCACTACTTAAGTTGCCAGGCTTCCTACTTCTTTGATTTTTGTCTGCCAAAATCAAAACAATATAGAATAAAATGATTATGCTGTATACTTCAAAAATTTTCTTATAACTGCATTTTTAATCAAAACAAGATTTTCTTCTACCTTCTGACTACTATTACTCTTTTTTATATGAAAATATAATTTGTAGTAAATATATACATTTATTCATGAGTCTGACTTTTGAACAAATTTTTTTTTTTTTTTGGTACAGGGGATTGAACCCAGAGGTGCTTCACCACTGAGTCACATCCCCAGCCCTTTACATTTTTCTTTTGAGAACAGGGTCTTACTAAGTTGCTGAGAGCTTCACTAAGTTGCTGAGGTCAGCCTCCAACTTGGAATCCTCCTGCCTCAGCCTCCCAAATCGCAGGGATTACAGGCAAGCACCACCATGCCCATCTGAACAAGACTATTTTTAAAGTCTATTTTAAAGACTATTTTAGAAAGACTATGATATTTTATCTTTGGCAGTTCTGGGAATTGAACCCAGGGCCCAGCACATGTAAGACAAGTGCTTTACCACTGAGTAATATCCCCAGCTCCATTTTGATACTATTTCCTGAAAATGAATTTATATTAAAAATATTGCAAGAATATGAAAATCAAAGCACATTAATTAATGTATTTAGAGAATTGCTTTAAGAAGATGAAACTGCATGAAATTAGAACTTTCCCAGAAACTATGGACTATGTAACTATCATCTCTATGCAATATGGCCCTTGTCTGTTTGATGGTTTTGAGTACAGGGGCTAGCATGGTGGCCCAGAGGGACATTTAATAAAAGATTTTAATTACCAGGAGATGAATTTCCCTTGATATGAAGAAGTAACCAAAGCAATGCTTTTATTCTATCTCTAAAACATAGGAAAGCACAACATTTAATATACTCAATAAGAAAGCTACACACAAGCCTGGAGCAGTAGCACACACATGTAATCTCAGAGGATCCGGAGGCTGAGGCAGGAGGATCTCGGAATTCAAAGCCAAATCAGCAATATTGAGGTGCTAATCAGCTCAATGAGACCTGTCTCTAAATAAAATACATAATAGGGCTGGGGATATGGCTCAGTGATTGAGTGTCCCTAAGTTCAATCCCCAGTACCCCCCTCAAAAAAAAAAAAAAAAAAAAGAAAGCTACATAGAAATTCAGAAGTATACCTTAAAGAAGGATGGAGATTTACAGAGGCCCAATTACATGAAAGATGTAAAGCCCCACATGTCAGTGTCAGTACGTGGATGTAAACTGATTAAGCTAAGCACTTATCGAAATTGCTTTCAGAAAGCTGTGACCAGAAAATAAGATGCAGAAGTTCAAAGTGAAAAAAGTTACCCTAGACTAAGTAAAATGAGGCCCCAATCAGGCATTAAAGCCGTTTGGCAATACTTGCAAGCCTTCACTAACATCTGGAAATTCACAAGTGAATTTTTTTAAAGAATGAAATGTGAATCATTACTTGCTTTATTATTAGTGTGCTTGTTTAAGCAGAAGGGTGGCTGCTTAGGCAGTGCCTCAGACTTCTTTTTCCCTCCTACTCTCTCTGCTTGTGAGTCATCAAAACCAGGGTGCCCTCCTTCACATACAAAGAACACGCTGTTGACCCATCAGCCAGGAATGCACTGGTTTGTATCATCTGCTCTGCTTTCCGCCGTCTTGCTACAGTCCGCCTGGCACTGACAGACTTCTTGGCAGGTTAGGGAACCTTAGATGGCTGTGGAGGGAAGCAGGGATAGCTCAACCTACAGAAAGTGGCCTCTGGCCTCATTAATACAGGGACTGACTCAATTTATAAAGCGTATCGACTTGGTTTTGGTCCTAAAACATTCTTGTTGATGTTTTTTACCTTCCTCTCCCCTCCACAGCCTTCCCCTGTGAGTAGCCTGTGTTTGCTGTTCTTATCCATCAAAGCGCACTGTGAAAGACAGCCCAGGAAAAGCATGGCGGCGATGGAGAGCAGGGGCTTTGGGGATCGGACTCAGTAGCTCAAGACTTGGCTCTGCCACTTAATAAATGTCTCATCCCAGGCAAGTGAGTCACAGAGCCACATTGTTTTCTCGGCGTCCTGATCTGTAAAATGGGAACAATACCCACCTGAAGAGGATACACAAGGTGCATATTTAAGGTGCTTAGTATACTGCCTGCTGTATAGAAATGCATACTGAATAGCTAAAAATGAAAAAGAAGGCAGACTGGTTTACAGAAAAATTGATGCATTTAACTTACAAGATCATGTCTTACCTTTCCCAGAAAAATTTATTTTTTATTTTTTTCATTTCTTTTTAGATATACATGAGTATATATAGAGAGTATACTTTTAAATTTATTTTAGGTATACATGAGTATATAGAGAGAGTATATTTTGATATATTATACATAAATTGAGTATAACTTCCATTCTTGTGGTTGAACACAATGTGGAGTTACACTGGTCTGTGTCATATATGAACATAAGAAAGTTACGTCCAATTCGTTCTACTGCCTTTTCATTTTTTTTAACAGGTTATAAAACATAATGTATAAGTACAGATTTAGGAACCCTACACAGTTTCTGAAAAGAGGTCATGTTTTAAATGAACCTATGCAGTACCCTGTAATCATAGACCCCATTGGGACATGCCTGTTTGCTGAATTCAGACCTACAGACTTTTAACCACCTCTTTTTGCTACTTCAGACTCGTCCATGTCCTAGGATGAACCACTTTTCCTTTCTCCTACTGTGTACTAGGTTACTAATGTTATGCCATAACAAATTATCCACAAGCTTGGGGGCTTACAACAATTAATTCTTCACAGCCCTAAAAGCCAGAAGTCCAAATCAAAGTGTCGGCAGAGCAGGTTTCCCAGCGATTGTGAGTGAGGAGCCGTCTCGGCATCTCTCCTTGCTTCTAGTTGTTGCTGGCAGTCCTTGGCATTTCTTGGCTTGTAGCTGCATTATTCCAGTCTCTACCTCCCGCCCCTCTGGGTCGGTCTCAAATCTCCCTTTTCCTTTCTCTTATAAGGACAACTGTTACTGGATTTAGGACCCATTCTAAATCCAGGGTGATCTCATCTCAAGATCCTTAACTACATCTTCAAAAAACAATTTTTCTAATACGGTCATATTCACAGGTTCTTGGGTTAGGACATGGACTTCTCTTTTAGGGGACCACCATTTAATCTACCATATTGTGTGTAAGAGAAGACCAAGATCTGGGGGGAGTGGGTGTGAGAGCTGGAAAAGGAAACTGTACTCCCTGAAGAATCCACCCAGTGGGCACAGTAGACCCTCACTGCCAACATGGTATCATGGCACCATTGATGGTTAATTTTCTGGGTACACTGAGGCCTCTGTTCAGTGGGTCAGTCTTGATCTTCACCTGCAGGAGCACCGCCATTGGGATTTGTTCAGTTGTCTTTTTCAATTTTATCAAATCTATCAATACTATTTAGTTCTTGGAACCTACTAACTATAGTATTGGGGGTCAAAGAACAAGCAAGGGACCTAGAAGTACCTTCATGTGGTTTGGGCCTGGGTACCATGAGAGGGGATATGCTAACAAGAACTAAGTGTAGAAGACTCAACAGGCATCAGTACCTTAGACCCTCAGTCACCCCACCATCACCACCACCCCTTTCCAGCAGCCATTAGCCCTGCATCAGGAGTGTGTAACTAGAAATTTGATTAACAAATAGAATGAGGGGAGGGGATTGTATTCTTGACATTTTTGGTTTTGCCCCAATGGAGCACTGGGAAATGAATAGACAAGCTCAATAAGGAAAGATAAATCAACTAATTATAGAACTGGGCACAGTGGCAGGCACCTGCAATCTCAAGAGACTGAAGCAGTAGGATTGCAGGTTTGAGGCCAGCCTAGGCAAGATGGTGAAACCCTGTTTTTTTGGAGGGTGGGGGGATCACCTAATTTTATTCACCACAATAGCATTACTAGTGACCGAGAAAAGGACTGTATTTGTGTTGGTTTTTCATTACTATAACAAATACCTGAGATAAATCAACTTTAAAAGAGGAAAGAGTTATTATTTTAGCTCCCAGTTGCGGAGGTTTTAGGCCATGATCAGTCGACCCCATTGCTTTGGGCCTGTTGAGGCACAGTCCATCGTGGCTGGAACACATGGGAGAGCAGAGCTACTCACCTCATGCAGCCAGGAAACAAGGAAGAGGAAGGGCTGTAGTCCCACAATCCCTTTCAAGGGTACGCCCCCAATGACCTAAACCGTGGCACCGTGCCCCACCTCTTAAAGGTTCCACCACTTCTTAATAATGCCGCCTTGGGGAACAAGCCATGGATGGATCTTTGGAGGACATTCCAGATCCAAAATATAGCAGTACTAATACCAGGGCACTTTGCCTGAGATATGGGATTTCATCCAAAAAGTGGTTTGGAATGGTAAGTGGTTCAAGAAAACCCAGCATAGCAGAAAGGTGTGACTTTCTATGATAAAATTTCTTATTAAATTACATAGCAAGCTGCCCTTGACAGTTATCGTATTGCACTTTTTTTTTTTTTTTTTTTTTTTGGTACTGGGGATTGAACCCTAGGGCACTTAGCCACATCCCCAGCCCTTTTTAGGCAGGGTCTCTCTAGGCTGCTTATAGCCTCTGTAAGTTGTTGAGGCTGACTTCGAGCCTGTGATCCTCCTGCCTCAGACTCCTGAGCCATTGGAATTACAGGCATGCACCATCACACTCAGCTCAGTATTGCATAAATTTTTGAAATCAAAACTTACTTATCCACCAACTCTCTCGGCCAAGATATCCTCAAAGATAATTACTGCATTACTCCTTTTTATATCTGTTGTTCCTGTCATAGTGCCTATTTGGGAAATATTTAATAAGCCAATTATTTAGTGTATTTCATCATTGCTCACCTTTTAAGGTGCTATAATTGATTTCCATAAAGATCAAAATATTGAGGGAGCAAATGTCATTATCTAAAGGCTGAATTAGGTGGGTACAGTCTCTTCATTCTTCAGAATAACTTCTGGTTGTCTTGTTAGGGGAGATGAGAAGTAAGTGCGTAGTTTCAAGGAGAACAATGTGTGGGTATGAACCAGGCCAGGGTATTACTGCTTTAGACCTGGGTTTGGCAAACTCTGGCCTGTGAGCCAAACCCAGCCCACCTTATTGTGTGGCCTGCTAACTAAAAACGGTTGTTACTTTTTTTGTTGTTGGTGGTGCATTTTAATTATACAGAATAACGGGTTTCACAATTTTGAATCATTGAAAAAAAATCAAAGAATAATATTTCATAGCACATGAAAAGCATATGATATTTTCATTTCAGGGCCCACAAATAAAAAGTTTTATTGGAATACAGCACCTTTGTGTACATACTTCCTGTGGCTGCTTTTGTCGTACAATGGCACAGTAAGGTAGTTGTGAACGAAGTCCTATGTGGCTCAGAAAGCCTAAAACATTTGTTCTCTGGGCCTTTCCAGAAAAAGACTGCTGACCCCAACGGCAGAGCAGCTGCTGATAAAAATGCTGGTGTTTGAACCTCAGTATACTGAGCACCTGAGTTCATCCTCTCAAGCTCTACTTTGACCAAAGTAGGGACACATTGTAGCACATTACTGCCAGGCATCCCTCCTATGGATGGTGGGCAGAGTGCAGGCCCTTTTAAACTGGGCAGAAGCTCTGCAGCGCTCAGAAAGTGGTCCATGACCAAATGGGCCTGGCCAGCAGCCAAGGAGTAATCTAAACAGGACACTGCCACCAGTGCCATCTCGGGGTCACTAGTACCCACATTTCTCCTAAATTGTCTTCGCATCTGTGCAACAGCCTCAAAGGTCAGGGCCCTGGAAAGAAGTCTGGTTGGCAGACCAGGCTGTTTGCCCACACCTGGTCAGGTAAGAGCAGATGAGGTGGATACTCTTACTTGCTGGTTTTCCATGTATCCCTCCTACTGTGATGCACAAGGAGGTTTCTCTCAGTGAGAAAGGATGCTAGGCAGCTAGAGAATGGAAATCAGATGTCTTCATCTCTGCTTCTCCATGTGTGGACCACGGACCAGCAGCGCAGGCCTCATCTGGGAGCACATTAGAAATGCGGATTCTCAAGCATCTCCCCAGACCCAGGGAATCAATCTGCATTTTAACAATTCTCCAGGTGATTTGTGTCTACCTTCAAAATTGAAATGAGATCCTAATAAAGTCCTAATTTGGCAGGATTTCAGGAGATATATGAAGTAAAGGGAAGTCTTTGGGCAGTGGGAGGTAATCCTAAGCATGACAGATCTGCTGGGGAACCTATTTGCATAGGTTGTGCCTGCTTCTCACAGCTTCTTCCTTTCTAGAGCCCTCCGACTTTAAGCCTCCCCAATTATAACATTTCTGGAAGCTGGGTGCAAAAGCGCATGCCTGTAATCCCAGCAGCTCAGGAGGCTGAGGCAGGAGGATCGTGAGTTCCAAGCCAGCCTCAACAACTTAGCAAGGCCCTCAGCAATTTAGTGAGACCCTGTCTCTAAATAAAATACAAAAAAGGGCCAGGGTTGTGGCTCAGTGATTAAGTGCCCCTGGGTTCAATCCCTGGTGCCCCCCCAAAAACAAAACTATGGCAGTGTACCAGAAGGCCTGAGAGTAAAAGTGGATGGGGGTTATGGTGGCCAAACAGATGTATGGCTTTTGTATTACCTGCTTATTCTCAAGGCCAGAACCTATTTTAAAAGGCCCAAAGTGAATTTTTGACCTAATATAAATTCAGAATATGAATCGAGTCACACTTGGATTCAAAGCCCAGCTCTGACACTTATTTGGTGAATTTTATATAACTTACATTATCTCTGGAGACAGATTTTCTCATCTCTAAAATGGGATTAATAACATGAATGAGAGAGAGACCATTATTGGTTTAATTTGCTACTTTGGGAAGCCATGGTGCATTCTGAGTTAGTTAACCAAAGTGTTCCAGCTTGTTAACTCATTTTGCAATGGGATTGTTAACAGCCATTCATGCTGAATGATCTATGTTGAGTTTTAGAATCACAGATTGTTGGGCATTCAACTTCTGTTTCTGCCTCCTTCTGGTTTCTGTTACTGTGAGGCGTTGTAGAGTTCATTGTTCATATCACCAGGTCAGTTTGCAACAAGGAATATCAAAGGATAAAAGCACAGTTTTGAAAA